GGGGCGCGCTTGCCCCGGCCGCGTCGGCGCTCGGCGGAGCCCGGGGTGGGGAAAAAGAGCGCCCACTGAGGGTTGCGGTGGGCGGGCTGGGCCTCCCTCGGCCTCCGAGCCAGCGCGGCAGGAGTTAAGGCCCTCCCCTTCGGTTCGCTCGGCTGACCTTCACGGGGCGACCAGAGAGGCAACCATGCGCATGCGCCCCAGGCGCCCGGGAGGAGCCCGGTAATTCGGGAGGGGTGAATCAACCAGTGTAAAGCCTCAGCGCCCGGGGGGGGGGCTTGTTTCCTTCCAATCTGCCCGCCCCCTCCGCTCCGTCCCATTGGCAGCGGGGTGGTGGTGGCGTGAAGGGCATCTTCTTCAGTGGGGTTCCCGGTTCCTGCCCCGCCCCCCCCCCCCCCCGGGCTGTAATTGTGTTGCCTGTAAGTGCCTGGGCAGGCTGGGACGCCTGGGTGAACTGGCTGCCCCCTTCCTTCACGTGTGAACACGCCGCCCCCGTTCTGCCTCCAGAAGATTCCCAAGCCCTCCCGGGGACAGGGAGAGGGTGCGTCCTTTGGGTACCACGCCCTGCTCGTTACTTGGCAACGCCGCCTCTGTTGCCAGGACGACGCGCGGGGAGATGCCGGCCAACGCCATGCTGTGAAAGGCGGCGTTGGGGGGGGGGTTTGAGACGAATGGAGGGGATGATGCCTTCGCCGAGCACCGCCTCACTCCGGGCTTTGCTGCAGAGAGCCGGTCTTCCCTACCCCATCCCTGCGAAAGGAGGAGGGAGAGGGGCCGTTGGACGGTGGGGGGGGGGCTCGACACACAGTCCTCTGTGGCGGTCGGGGGCAGAGGCGGCCGCGATCGCAGGCCTTTTCCGGCCCTCCCTTCTGCAGTCTCTCTCTCTCTCTTCCCGCCCGCGCCCCCCCCCCGGTCTGCGATGGGTGGGAGCAGGGACAGGCGAGAGGGGCGCTCCCTTTCCTTCGCCCGGCTTCCCTCGGTGGCTGCGCGGCCTAGACGGTCCCGAGGGATGAGGCCTGGAAGCGGCGGAGGTTCTGCTCAGTTCCAGTCAATAGACCTCTAGACAACATTTGCACCCATGCCTTTACTGGAGAGGGGAAGAGTCCCCCTCTTTGCCACCATTGCAACACTCCTCTTGACTCCTCCTGACTCCAAGCGGGTCCCAACCCCCTGAGTTCTTCTGTACTTAAGAAAGAGGGGCCCAGGAAATCCCCCTGCCACTGCCCCCCCCGTCCGCCCTCTGTTCTCCTTCCAGAATTCTCACAGTCAAGGACTGCAGAGTTGGAAGAAGTCTTGGATCCTCTTTCAATCCTGAGAGGCTTTGGTAAGAAAGGGATCTCTGAAGGTCATTCAGACTAGCCCCAAACATAAAAATAGAAGGACCGTTTCCCTGTGAGTTCTGTTCGCTGCATTAGCTTCCGGATCAGGAGGTGTTTCCCCGTGAAGCCTCTGCCACCGGGAGTCTCAGAGGGCAGAGGGAGCAGCTTCTCCCTCAGGGGCTCTCCAGCAGTGCTGGGGCCACAACCTCGGGTAAGGGTCTGTGGCTGCAAAATTGGGTGACAGCCACGAGCCTAAAATTCCAACTCCCATTTGTTGCTGCTCTTTGAAAGGGTTGGGTTGAGCGAAGGCTTGTTGGCTTGTGTCTTTTGTGGACCACCCTGTTGCCCCCCCACCCCGGGGGCTTTTTTTCTTAAAAGGCAGGCTGGCTGCTCTCTAAGAGAAAGAGCAGGACCAGGACGAGGAGGAGGAGGAGGAGGAGGCGGAGCAGCCCCGAGCCGACCCCGATGGCCGCGGAGGAAGTCACCGGAGGGGCGCGAAAGGCGACGAAAAGCAAACTTTTTGAGTTTCTGGTCCACGGGGTGGTGAGTGGGGAAAGTTGGCGGCGGCCTTGCCTGGAATGCG